CTTTCATCCATATTTTCATCTTCTGTTGCCAGCAGCACTTTGTCCCCATCAGGTTAAAGCTGAAAAAAACAGATGTTTTAGCATCTAATCTAACAAACAGTAGGATTTCAGCACTTTAGCTAATTAATGTGGTCTATAAAATAACAGTTTTAACTTATTGACTCCTTCCAGAGCTCTTTCAAGGCTGATGTATTTTTAAAGATACAAATGAATTGCCACAGGTTCAACTACCTCCAATGGATTAATGGGGTAGCTCAGTTCTCTATTTACCCATTGGGAATAACAGTGACGCTCTTACAGAGCGATCATACTGTTTCTCAACCCAGGGTTCATCAACTCACAGTTCAGTGTTAGACTTCGTTAAACTTGCTTCCTTAAACCAAACCCTGGACTCACACTCCCCATAAGCTCAGTGTTGCTTCAACAGATGCAGCAGAGGGAATGGAGGCTAAGAAAATGCTGACTAGAATAGAAATGGAGAGAATAAAGCGGATTCATTGTGAAACAGTATTTGAAATGTACTTAGTTACTGTTCCGTTCTGAGTGTGTGACCCAACAGTCAACACATTTAGTCGGCCTGAATCCCAATGACTGCTGGAAACCCTTGAGGCTACTTGGCCCCGGTTTGACCTCGCAAGTTTTATCCATCCAGGAACAGAGTCTCCGAGCACCGTCTGGTAAATATGGAGGGTCACTGCAGGTGATGCAACATATGGGGCTCAGTCGGTGCAGTTGGCAGTGTCCTTGGGCAGTATCCAAGCAACCAGGGACTATACCAAAACTGAGCGAGAAATGCGGCTGTGTGTCATTTAATGGACGAGACGAGCGGGAAGGTACATGAGGGTAAATGGAGAGCCAGGCCGCTGCATACGTGATCGGGCTCTAACGCACACATCCGCAGAGTGACAGCGCCATACACAAACAGAAATGCACACACGCCTGGCCCTGCGCAAACGTGCTTAACCCACACCTTCACTGCACGATCAAAGACTCCGCCGGAGGCTCCTGCTCTCGCCGACGACTTCCTCTTGACACAGAGATCAGAAAGTTGCCAGAAAGTGACCGGCAATTTACTCCTTGGTTAAACACTTGGAAGCCACGGAGCCAGCAGTGAATCCATCAGAGAGAAATAAACGCTGACAAAGACAGAGGCAGAAAAGGGGAATCCATCTAAACCTCTTAGGCTCAAACAGCCTTCCTGTCTCACTCTGGGAGGTGGAAACCCCTGAGGTGTGTAATATGAAACAGAATGTTAATGTTAGAACTCTTCCCTTTGAACTCCTCTATTACTATTAAAGTGCAGCTATGTTAGTTCCCTCTCTGTCTCACCTGACATCCTCCGTCGTCACAGTGTCTCTTAACCTTCTTTTCTATATTCTTGACGGCCCTTCCTTTATTTAATGAGCCACAAGATTAAATACACAAGTGACAAGAATGATCTTTTTTTCATTCAAATGTTAGAACATTAAAAACTACTTAGGGTTGTGATTAAAGTTTGATTGTAATAAAACTATTTGACTGAAGGATCCTGAAGTTGTTGAAGCTCGACGCTTTGTACTGAAGGTGAACACAAGGTCCTTGAGCAAAGAACAAATGTATGCTGTTAATTTCCTACAGAAGACGATAATTATTCAAGTAGAAGAAGTTGCTTGCCAGGAAACAGGAAGTCATTTGACCTACATAATTATATTTTTCCTCCATAGGAACCTTAACCCTCTGAACTCTGCAACAGAAAATGTTCCGCCAGTGCCAACACTGATATTCTTGTAATTTCTTGAGTTTCTCCAAATCCTTTATGTCTGAAAAAGATTGATAGTACACATAAAGGTTATGGAAGTCAATATGACATTATAAATACAGTACTTAAAGCACTGAAATAAAAGTTTCATCAGTATTTACCAAATAGACACTTAAAACAAACTGATTAAAAAGATTTCGAGATATGCTTATTTTTTCTGTGCTCCTCTCTCACAGTTTAAACTCAACCAGGTGGTTTTAGTGTTTTAGATGTGTCGTTTACCTCATGAGAATTACAACATACTTCTACTGTACGACACAGTAAGTAAGTATACTATGTGTCTCGATGCAAGTGTTGTATTTAAGACTTGTTCTCGATGCTGATGGACTCATTCTAGTTGTTGGCATCAGCACACCTGCTTCATGAAGCATGTTTCTGACATTTCTTTGGAACACTGAACATGGTATTTTGTTCAGGAGGCAGGAGGAGGTACAGTAGAACTGCATAATTCTTCATAAGAAAATACTATGGAATGTTTCCAGTGCAGCAAAAATCCAAGCTCTGTGAAATGAAAAATAGTACATTTATTATCTTACCACCGAGTCTGTCTTGGTTCGGGTCCGTGTGGTCCCACCTGTGTGCCATATGGTGCCTGTGGTGAACTTGGACTTGGAAACAGATGATTTACACACAGAATAGGACGCGTTTCCTAAAAAGACACAGGACAACATATTTTAAAAAACGGACCACAAGAGTGAGTGTAGTTTCTCCATTTCAAAAATTTGCAGCCAATCATATCCCATGTAATATTTTGGAAGTTGTCCAATATGCAAGTGAATGAGTCCGGGATGGACTGGGGTTTGGAGATGCATAAATTATGAGATGCAAAAAACGATTGTCGCTGCAGCGGCTGCTGGTCAGAATAATAGAAAAGGGAAAATAGAGAGAGAGGCAGAGATGGTGATTATCTCTGCTGTGTAACACAGAGGATTGGACTCAAGATGAGCCGCTCCTCTGGCACAAATTTATCTATGTTGTCAGGTGTGCCTAGACGATTACCCACCATGCTGCGCTGCTCTGTGGCAATTCCCTCGGCGGGAGTCAAGTTCTCACAGAAGACCAGAGCCGAGGAGAGAATGGCAGCCTATTACTCACAGCCCTGTCCTTATGTTCCCCTCACAAAGTCTGATACTGACTCATGGCTGGCTCCTGTAATTCTCCTTTACGAGCCATCCGTGTCCATTTGTTTTGATAGCAATTGGAAGGCTAACTGCTATTATGCTGATGTATATGATAGAGGCAAGGAAGCAGCCCTGTGGCCACTGCTCTTTACAGTCATCAAAACACCCATCGTGCTGGAACTTTTCATCTCGCTTATTAGATCAGGTTTATGAGCAATCAATTATCCAGCTTCAATCTGCTCTATTTTGTTCCCAGTTCATGTCTTACCGTTTGTGTACCTGGTTTAAAATAAAGTTAAAAATTCAAGTGAGTGTGTTTGAATAAAAAAAGGTTCCATGTCAAATAATTATCATAATTCATATCAATAACTGTTTCATTTCAATAATATAAAAAAGGTTTCTAGTGGATTTGGATACTTCATACACAGAAAATCACCTGTTCACTAAATCGAAGGTCAAACCATAAAATTAAATCAACACTGGGTTTTAATATTTATAAAGAACCAAAATTGTAATTTAACTGCCTCTCATCACCGACTGTCTTCAATAGTTTCCTGTAGCTAGAGAGAGAGAAAAATATTGAAGCCTCGGGTGTCAGCGTTACGCTCGAATGTCCCGTTTGCCTCAGAGCTCTTGTATCTGTCTATACAATCCCCCTCAGGCCGTCCCAGTTGAGATGAAGATAATAATCTACAACCTTATTGATCTCTCACTCTCAACATGCTCCATAGAGTCAGCTTGTGTTGATTTGCGTCGCCACAGGTGCTGGAGGAAACAGCCAGATTCCATTTCAACCTGCAACAGGATAATACGATTCACATTTGTCATTTAAAGTACTTCCTTAGCGAAACAATAACTCTGAGACCGTTGTTAACACTTTTTGGACGAGAAGGATAATGTTGTTAGGGACAATATCCCATTGGTCCCATGCTATGCACAATAAAAACAACTCCCTGAATTTAAACAGGCCTCAGGAAGGAACTGTCTGTCTTATTTGCGTGTAGGCTACATCTTATATTCCCTTAATGCTTCACCCATTAAAGTTCATCGGTGTCTTGAGATGCAGAGGGGAGATCATTTCAGTAGCTTAAAGATCAAGCCCTAATGAAAAAGGCAACGGCTCATACACACGTAGTGCTAAAGTGAAAATTGTGGGATAAACAACTTAAACAGGAGCAGAGCTTTGATTCAAAGTGGAGAAACACATAAAAGAACTTCCCACCATCTCTTTTATTCCTGTTTATTTATACAACCTTCCACACTCGATAAACACAAAGGGATGTCAGTCAAATCGAGAGAGGGAGGGACTGACGACTTTGCCAAAACTTTACACTCAACAAAAGCCTTGTGAATCCCACACTTGCAGAGACTTTGTGACAATGAAGAGATGAAATATAATTGAGGTGACATAAGTTTGTGAAGTGACCACATGCTGTTACACCCAAAGATATATTAGTTTGCATTGTGCTGCGGCCTCTGTCTCTTAGTGGCACATTCGACGAATTATCTTGAATTAAAAAAGCAATATAACTTGAGGTTGTGATATGTTCCCTTTCCTCCCACGTGTTTCCTGAGGTTATGACATGCACTCATCAGGGCACAACCGCTGCCACCGTTATCTCTGGCCTGCTGCTGTCGCCGCTGTCCCACTGGGTTTGATTCTTGCAGCGACTCACGTCTCAGGTGGGGACGAACATGGGATCCGCAGGATTATCCTAACAATGCTAAAACTGGGACATGAGGATTAGCTTTTGCCCTGTAATCCCAAAAGGAGTCCCCACTGCCACCAGCACCACTCCAAACCTTCAAATACATTTTCCTGTGGAGTTTTTGAGGATGTTAAATCGTGCTTAGTGACATCCGGTTATGTGAGTAACATAAAGATGCATCATGGGTAAATGAGTGTAACTTTTACCCACAAATTAGTTGAACCCCCTGGTGACCATAACCCTAGTTGGTAAAGAAAGAGAAGTGATTTTTGAGCTCGGACTAGTGATGTCCTCAGGGTTGCCATTATTCTAATGAAAACAATAAACATCCACTTTCCAGTCAGATCAACCTCCACCATGTGTTTTTTACAGGATCACGACCACTGCTGCCTGTATGATGGACCTCAGAAGATATCCACTGGATGAGCAAAACTGCACGCTTGAGATTGAGAGTTGTGAGTAAATCCTTTATTCATCAATCACATCGTATTAAAGTTAATTCAGTGCCAGGGCTGAATTAAATTTATTTCTTAACCTACTGTTTTGTTGTTTGTTTGATCGTTTTAAATTCTAGGAGATTCTGGTTTTTCACCTTTACCCAGTTTTACATGGCCTCTGCTTTGCTGTCATAGAGTATGTGTCACTCGGCCTTCACTGGGTCCCAACAATTTGTGCTTTACTGCTGTGCAAAGATTTACCCAGAATTGTAATATTTTCAGAGTAATCCTTTCCATCCAATTTGCAGTATTTCCCCTGGTGAAAGGAGAGACCCTCTTTCCCTGTGAAATATACGCTCAGCTGAGTTTTCTCTTCTAGACAGAATATGTTTTGTCATTTCAGATAAATAGTTCACAGATCATTGAGTTTTTTTTATATATATTTAAAAATAGAGGGAATTTAGATAAATTGGTGGTTAATCTCATCCCAGTTGAGTGTAGATGACCCATGATTAACACAGGACAGCCCACATCAAGTGAGCTACTTGTCACAGCTCAGCGCCACCACCCCCTTCCTTCAGTGGAGCCGTGAACTACATTGTGTGACTTGGTGCTGGATGTGATGAAGAGGGAGTTAATGCTGTCCAACGCTCACGACAACAATTTACAGCCAGTACATAACAAGGGCTGTGCTGTGGGTTGTGTGAAATCCAGTGGGAGCTCCAGTATATTTCAGTTTAAGATCAATTAATGTAAAAAACATGACAAATCTACAGTGAATTAATTTGATATATTCAACAATATGATTCGTAGAACCGAAAGGAAAATGTTCCTATTTCTTTTGTATAAAATTAGCTTATTAAAAATCCAATAGCGCAGCTGACGTGATGGATGCAAACCAGTTGCTAACACACGAGAATCAGAAGTCAGCTGGATAACTGTGAATGCAGCCAGATGTGTGTAATGTATAGAGATGGCTGAAGGGCGTTTTGTAAAAAAAAATTGTTCAACTGAGCAGCAAGGTCTGCAGTCGGGGGGGAACTGGAGCGTGAGATACAAAGGAGGTGGCTGAAGAACTTTTGCGAAATATACAAAACACGAGAGAAAGTTCTCTCTGCTCTAAATGTGAGAATAAGACATAGAACTTTCTACATGTCTAATGTAACTCACAGCTAGTGTGTGGTCACAATAACACAACAATGAAAGCTCCACTGTTGATGTACACATGAGACCAAACTGCCCACTGTAGATTTATCGGTCATTGTAGAAATTCAAAAAGTTAATTAAAACTCCAACTGTGCTTCACTAAAAAGGACTTGTCTGTGTTCTGCATGTTTACTCTGCCTGCATTTACTTTTACATGACATTATTTTGGCAGTAGATTCCTACAACATTTGGAAACAACATTTTGTCCGTCACATGTATGGGAAGAAAAAACAAAGGGCTTCTTCCCTTGTGCCTCATTTTCTGCCTCTCACATTTAAAAACACCAATGCTGCACATTAGGTGACAGAATAGGGAGACAGTAGTAAAGTAGTGAAGCAGCAGGATGCCCATTCTGACCTTCATGCTGACATTATACACAAGACTCCTCACTTGTCATCTGCAGTTTTCTCTTACTTGAGGGAACAGCTAGTGAGGATGCCTTTATCAAATCTAGACCTAATCTCTGGAAAGATGGTGCAGAGCTTGTAGCTGCAAATGTCACCTCACACTCCTTGTTTGAACATATCGTTCAGGGAGCGGTGGTGGGCGACAGAGAGGGACAGTGGCTGCTCACGAATGAGTGCACCTCACGACGCAGCTCATCAGCGACCTGAGAGAACATCCTTCTCTTTTAATTTGGTGACAGGCTTTTTCCCATTAAGTGCTGGGGCGAGGCAGCTGTGTGTGTGCATGCTGCGTAGATTTGGGTATTTGTTTGTGTGTGTGTGTGTGTGTGTGTGTGTGTGTGTGTGTGGCAGAAATCTTACATCCTGTTATTTATTTCATCTGAGCCCTGAGAGTTAAGAGGCTCGCGGAGCAGCAGTATGAAGAGGATCTCTGTTGGTTTGAACTGTTCTAGATCTGGTGTTGCCTTCAATGACTCCGCTCTTTGGTGTAGATGGTTGATTTTCAAGCAGCTGTGTTCTTCTCCTCCTCTAAATCCCTGAGTGGTGCCTGCACCTCCTCACTACGCTGCTCGCTGCTTTGTTTTGGTTCCTCTTTACTTTCTGTACACCTCTTTTAACACTCCACCCCTCCCTTCTCTCCCTTCACTCATTTGCGAGTGTCATTATTTCATACTCAGCTCTTTGTTCATCGGTTGGCTTGTTTCCTATGAGTTTGATTATTCTAATATCCCCAGTATTGAGCCGCCGCCTGTGATTTAATAAGATTTGACAGGTTGAATAAAACATCCAAGAACTTCCATTTATGGATCAGGCCTCTATCCCTTCACGCTGACCTTTTCTAATTATTTCAGGCAAAAGTTAAATCGCTGACCCTGGTTTCATTACTAACTTTTAATCACATAATAACAAGCTGCTTGAGTACGGCGGTTGCTGTCAGCATGGTTATTTTATGTCAAGAGAGATGGAGACACCATATTGATTTTTACTTTTACAAGAAACTTAAAAATGTAAATAAAGTATGAATCATTTTGAAATGTTTTTATCCCCGGATCTACATTTTGTCTTCAAGAAAAAAGAAAACTCTTCTCAAGCCAGAATTGGAAAATATAGTATGAAAATATATTTATTTACTATAATGGTGTTTTCATTATATATATTACCTTATCTTTACTACAAATCTACTTAAGTACAGTAATGAAGTAAAAATATTTTATTACTGTGCTTAGGTAGATTTTTCAGGTATCAGTACTTGAGTACTGGTTTTTACTTATACTCCCTACATTTGAACATTTGAACACAAATATCTGTACTTTCTCCTCCTTATATTCTCAAAACTGGCTCGTTACTTAGTTCAACCTTCACGGATGACATCATGACCTAAAAGATGTAACAACACGGCTGTGATCGACTCCAACGGTTCCGACCCGAGGACCTCACTAAACCATCCAATCGGTAGTAGCGACAGTCAATGATTGGCACATTCATGAGAAACAATAGATCTCCTCCCACATCTCAACAGTCTCTGTCACTCACAGTGAGGAGAGTGAAGAAGATCTACTGATACAAACCTGCCTCCTGAACCCTGATGGAGCAGAACAGCAGCAGCACAGCACTAATCCCAGAGGACGTGGCCCCACAAACAGTTCACAACCCTGTGGAACACATCCTGACACCAGGAATTAATTATTAACAATGAGCAGCCGGGTGAAAATAAGGGACCTGAGGGCTTACTTGATGGAAATAAATGAATTAGAAAGTCTGTAATATTATCATGGGTCCAGAGGCCCGAGGTGCGGGTTCAACGGTTAACAAGCTGCTCTGTTGTTTGAATGAGCTCATAAATTCTCTATAAATTAACTGGAACGCTTGACTAAAAAATATCGATTAAATGTGGAAACGTGGACTTAAACCTAACAAAGGTCAATACAGAACTAAAAGTTCTCCCTCATTCAGGCTTTCATCTCCTCTCATTTCAAGTTCATCACGTAGTTTAGCAGCTCCTCACTGAATTCACTGTTGCCTTATCTATAAACATAGGCCATGACTGGAGTAGATGGTGGTGATAAGAATGACTCTCTAGAAATGAAAAACGTATATGATGCAATATAAAAATCAATTCCTTGTCCATGAGAAATTTGTGCCATTAGTACTCCAAGGTCTTCACAGCAAAAATATACTGCCACTGTTGCTGGCTTGTTTTTATTATGAGGCAAAGTTAACTTGACTCTAATACCACACTACCTCACGCTCACGTCCACAAACAGTGGGAAAGGGTCGGGTTTCTAACCTTTCAGGCGCGGCCCTGTCAACCTGCATCTGTTTTGTTGTAACTTGCTCAGCATCTCTATGATGTAATGTGTAATTCAGGACTATAGCGTAGTAGGACCACACACGGTTTTTACCCCAGAGCAAGGAAATACCATTCCCTGCATTATTTAAGCAGGTTAAGCCTGTGACGTTGTGGGTCACTGTTACGGTAATGCAGTTTACTATGTACATTATACACACTGCTGTGCAGTAGCTCTACCTCCACAGGAAGCAGATTCTAGTAAAAGATGCAGCATTGGCTGCATAAGTAGCAGCTGTGCATCTTTTTAATAAATCATAGCAGGAGTAGGGTCACAGAGCTGTTGAATGGTGAATAATACACAAGAGCTTTTTGTTTTAGCTTTACCATCTGTGTGGCTTTAGGTGGCTCTTCTGGAGACACTGATAGAGGGGATTTAAGTGAAGCTGCTTGGACAAACTGAAAAATAAGTTAAGACAAACCTGCAGCCATCGATATATTCACATCCTGCACACACACGTCGAAACAGATGTTTTTCTAGGGGAGAGAAAGTCATATTGTGTTATTTCACACAGTCGCTCTGCACTCACCATGAAACTATCATTCCATTACAGCACCTTTACCAGCTAATAGTTATATTTTCTGCACCAGCGATCCACATCATATGGACAGAGCCACTTCCGCTCTCCATCCCTCTCTCGCTATCTCTTTCCATCGCAGCCCATTTTTAGAAACTGCACACATTCTCCAGGGTGTAAATGGTCTCTGCACTCGGGCTTGCACGGCTTATTTATTTATCTTTATCTTTAGATGTTCCGTCCCTGTCCAAGCATGCAGTCAGCCGCGGCTCGCTGTGTACCGCAAAGGTTTGAAGACATTTTTTTAATTGGACACCAGGAATAACTTTAAAGTCCCTTTGAAATGCATGAAATCAAAAATTCATCAAAGACATATTTAAGAGTGGAGCAGGCAGTTGTTCAGGGGGTTGATTTGATGCAGGGGTGAATGGATTTTTTGTGCCTCCGCTTAGATTGACCTGTGTAGTAGACACACAAATAGACAGTGTATCACAAGTTTCATTTTTCACACACATTCCCCAAGGGTTCTTGTCAGCAAAGGTTGGTGCAGCACAAAAACAAATCTCAATATGACTCTTTATGGGGAATAAATTAGGGAGCTGTGGCATCTTTTGACTTTACGGTGCAGTTTTCTAATGAAATTTACAAACGCTCTGCTATTTATTTTCATTTGAGATGTAAAGAAAGTTGGGTAGAATTAATTTTTGTGATGGTTTATAGTGTTTTCATGGTCTTTAAAGGTCCAGTGTGTACAATTTAGGTGAAAGGGAACTATTGGCAGAAATTGAATGTAGAATAATCCTCATGATGTTTTCACTAGTTCGTTTCATCTAAATGAATCATCTATGAATTGTAATTCTTTACCCCAGAAAAGACCCTTTATATTTAAATACTTTATATTTACAGTGAGGGGACCCTCTCTACGGAGGCTGCCATGTTTTTTACATTAGTCCAGACTGGACAAACTAAACACCTTTTGAGTTTTTATGACAACTGAAGCTACCACAGGTTCTTTTTCATGTTTGGAAGGAGAGGGTGAGGTGAGGGGTGTTCAGCTGCAACATGCAATTTCAACACTAGATATCACAATATTCTACACACTGTACCTTTAAAATATGCTAAGGTGACTATGGTGTTTATTACATTGAGTATTTTTTTCCGTTACAGGTAACAAGGAAACAACGTTGAAATCCTTGATTATGTTTTGCCCGGGGCAATATCAAAGCCAATGTTTTATCTCCCTCCAAATTCCTTCTTTGCCCATTAAAACAAATCAACTGAGACATTATTTCATAAGCCTGATAAAAAGGCCCGGAGTCAGATTTGGCCGGGGAGATATGCCAGAGTCCCAGTTAAATAGCTTTAGTATTGTATTGCTATCTCCTCTGATGCTATCGAGAACAATTTCATTTATTTTTGGCCTGCTAACGCTCCCAGACTTTGGAATCCATGAAGGCAGCCTTTGTGTTAGTGTAAAATACATATTGTCACATTCAGAGATTTTCTTTCTTTTCTTTTCTTTTTTGTATTGAATGTCAGAATTTGCATCTCGTGCCACTGGGGAATAAAATGACTAATTCAATTATTTTTATTCCATCATTTCATAGTTAATAAAAATACTGTCACGTCTGTGATGTGCTGCCAATTGGTTCTTCTCTTTCACTTAATTTCTTGCAGAATGGTAGTCAGGAGGATCCATCTGTGCCAAACACTATGATGCAATATCGTCATTACAAAAGCAGTGAGGCAAAATCAAGAATGTAGAAACAATGGAGGACAGAAATATCCTCACATAACTGATAAATAACTGATTCTGATACACTCCAAGATCTATATTTACCATTTTGTTTTAAATGCAAAGTGTGTCCAGAGGAAAGACCAACAGGGTCTTTAAAATCAAACGGATGTCTTCATGAATATGTCCTGCTGAGATACTATGTGAGAGGATTCATCCTCTTCATCCTCTGAGGAGAATGACTTTTATAAATGTAACTGCAATCTATTGCATTTTGTTATATCCCGTGTGCAACTGCGAATTTGACTCATTCCATTGGAGGCATTAGTGGGAAGATAAAGATAAAGGGAAGTTACCAATAAAATGAGCTTTGCTACTCTGGGACTAAATGTATTGTCTCAAATTTAAAATGTGAACCTGCAGTAGAGGAGGTTATTCAGTTTTATCACTTAGGAAATGTATTTAAAATTGAGTTATTCCTGTCTGCCCCTGACCTGGCCTTTATTTCATCCCATCTCTTCTAATAGAATTTTCCTATACTCGTACACTTAGTAAAGAAGCACTTAATCGTCTGCAGTTTGTTCAACAAGCAGCTGCTGGGCTTTTTGCTGGAACGCATTAATCTCATTTTGCCATTTCCCCTTTTTTAACTTATTGGCTTTGGAATAGATTTTGGAATTCAATTGATTACCTCTTATGTAAGGTGATGCTGATGATCATGATATACGACTACACTAACTGCCTGGATTATTTTTGAGAGACAAAAAATGTTGGACATTTCAATGCAGAACTCACTGAATTCCACTTTGGTTGAGAGGAACAAGAGATGTCAGAGTGTTAGGGTGTTGCCACAGAAGAGACTGCTTTAATAATTCAGAGCAACTAAATAGGTCACACAACTATTAATTAAGGAGAAAGAAGTGGAGGGAGAAGGAAAACGGGGGAGGTAGAATGAAAGATATATAGTTATGACAGAGAAATGAGCGAGAAGAGAGAAGGAGAGGGATGTAATCAAATGGAAAAAAAAGTGGTGGGAGAGAGGGAGAGAAAAAGACGCAACAGCAGAGCACCAGAGGAGGAAGAGGAGGGGAGAGAGGAGGTGTGATATAATGGTCTACATTTTATGCACTAATCAATGAAAGAGCGTGGGAGTTCCCTTTAAATTGTTCTGTCAAACATGCTTTTATTCATCATCCTGCCTGGTCCTCGTCATCACTGCCTTCCCACACACACAGTACACACACAGTACACACACAGTACACACACAGTACACACTTGTACAAATCAAACATGTTAATTCACTTCCTTCCTGTTAAACCTCACCATCATCAGCATTTGACAAAGTAATGGTCACGCAATCTAATGGAAAACCGAAGTCCATGCATGCAATCAAACGATAAAACAATAATCGCTCGCGCAAATTCAACAAACATGCATGCAAATCCCCATTGCAGTGAACATGCAGTACCAACAACAACTGCACCCATCACAGATGATTACTTTAGTTGCATGCAAAAGACATCACAAATGTTGTTTAATCCATCCCCTGCTGTTACCTAAAACATGGAATAGCCCTCAAAACACGCACCTTGAAAGAGATTAGACGTTTGTATCAGTTTTATGATGTCAATATTCTGCTGTTTGTCCCCGAGGCAGGGAGGAGTGTTAGTGAGTCTCTGCCCTCCTCCTCCTTCACAGAAGAGTTCACACTTCAGTTCACCCATCGTGACGAGCTGTCAGAGCTCTAAGATAATAAACCACTGCTAGCTTGTCATGCAAAGGAGATACAGCCTCCTAACCACAATGCACTGCAGTGTTCAAGGTTTTCTGTGACTTTGCACCCATTTTGTATCATTAAAGAAGGTGGATATAGAAAAGTAATGCTGTAAATGTTTAAAAACAAGTTAATCTATTTATACTGGGCTGTGTTTCTGTTTGCAAGCACGATTATGCATCATGATGACGTCTGGGGTGGCGCAGGAAGACCAGAGAGCAACTTGAACAATATGCAAAGAGTCATTAGACACATGCACCCAGGTTCAGTGGTTTTATTATTATTGCTTTTCAAATTGCTGTTTTAGTTATAATTATAACAGGGTTTTAATGGTGAGCCACCCTTCTGGAAAAAGTCCACAGACTCCAGCTGTTTTATGTCCCTCTCCGTCTCCTCATTCCTCTTCTCCTCTTCTGTCGCTGAGACCAGTGCTCTTATGCCCTGAAGTCAGCAGACATGACAACTGCACCCGGGGAGACAGTAGGCAGTGGATTATGCAAGAGCCGAGTTTCATGGTCTTTGGTTGAGATTAATATTAATGGACTTGCTTCTTGTCCCTTTGCAGGGTTTTATTGAGTTTTGGTGGTGAAAATTGAGGCCAAGCCTGGTTATTTAATCATTCTTGTTCCTGGTGTTAATAATTTAGTTGCTCATGGGACGAACATAATAAAGTTGACTCATATACATTTAGTCACATATGTAAAGGGTTTCACCGGCTACTGTATGGACGGTTGTATGTTTAACAGCATTTCATAATTTATGGTTTTAACAGGCCTTTTAATTATTCAGTTATTGTCAGAGTACAGTAGGAAGACATAAGTGTGTGCCTTGCTTAAAGGTCCCTCAAAAGGAGATGAGGAGATGGCTTCGAACAAGGCTTACTCACCCACTGTGTGTGTGTGTGTGTGTGTGTGTGTGTGAGAGAATCAAGATTTAAATGCACCATTTGTCCTGAGTGTTTCCAAGGTTATTTGATGATGAAGGGGTCAATATGAAGAGCACTCAATTTAAATCTAAAATAATAATAATGATAACAGGTGATACAATTCATGCTGGTACTTTGTGATAAAAATACAAAAGATTTTTGAAGCACCAATGTTGAGTGAAAATGATGAGATCGTTTCTACTTGACAGTGTCAGGGAAATTAGTTGTCTGGCCCTGACTTTCATTTTTTCTGTCTCGTCCAGTTTGGTGCTTGTGTAAATTGATCTTGCACTAACCAGAGATAATAAACAACTGTATTTAAAGTATGATTTCAAACCGAAAGAATATAAACAGGAATTTTAAATAAAAGCTGTATAGCACAGTTATTCTTTCCTCGTGGTAAACCACATATATCAATCACTGAACCAACGACCAAACACTGTGTTGTCAACAAAATGTGAAATCGAGACAAATGCAAACCCAATCATGCTAAGTGATTAATTGACTGAACTGTGTGATCCAGATGGGATGTGGTTATAAACATCTACCGTCAGACCATTAACGATCCTGTGCTCCGTCTCAGATGGTTATACAACAGATGACATCGAGTTCTACTGGCGAGGAGGAGACAACGCCGTGACGGGGGTGGACAAGATTGAGCTTCCCCAGTTCTCCATTGTGGATCATAAGCTCATCTCCAAGAACGTCGTCTTCTCCACGGGTAACGTCCTGAACACATGGAAATGCATGCATCAACACGGTCATAAAATAGACAAGTGGCTTTCGTTAACTAAATGAAAACACAGCACCAGTAAAATATATTTCGTGCCATCTAACATTATCATCACTACAAATATTATCTTGACATTTGTATATTCAATTTAAGTAGGCCATTATTTTACTTTGACATTAATTATATAATGTTTATATTATGGTACTTAGGGTTATTGCATTCTATTATAATTACATTCCTGCAAAGAAGAAAAGAAGTAAAGAAAATAAATGTTAAATGGAAATTCATATCACACTTATTGCTAAGAAAAACAGCATCCGCTATTATCAGGAATGCAAGATCTTATGTAAATATACAAACGTACATAAAAACCTTCAAATAAGGCAATAACCTAGGAGACCGAAGTCACCGTGACTTATTTACCAGCAATAAAAAAAAAGAATTCTGTGTGATGCAGTGAAATATTCATTTCTTTTGCATTTTCATATTCATGAATTTGTCATGCAAGTAAGCAATTGTAAGTGGGACAGAGGTTCTGCTGAATAGTTTCTGGGGTGGCGACTGTATTGAATAAAAGTGAAACATTAGCACAATAAGAACAAAGTGACTCCAGCGACGAGAGTATGTTTTCTCTGCAGGGGAAACACATTCCACACAATCTTATTAAAAACATACAACATGTATGTGTGCGTAGCAGGTCAGTCATCCCAAATGTGTCCCTGCAGTGTTCCCGATTTTATAACCTAATGCAGCGTTATGGTAGACAGGGGATTCCTTCTGAACACACTGCCTATTGAGATATGGAGTAACCAACCCGGAGGTCACGGAGAAATGCCAACATCAGCAGAAGAGCTTTAGCATTTATCCAATATAATTGTCGTGTTTCACTCCAAGGATACGCAATGTCATTGTTGCTCTAATGAATAATGAATATTCACCATCCTGTCATTTTCTATCCCAGCTGTTTCCACACTTCATAAAGAAATAATCCAATGATTCTCTTGGTGGCTCATTCTAACACAAGCTCACAGAAATAGCAGATCTAAGTGGTGACATTCCTAGAGCAGCTGAGCCTTGAGAATTGTTGGTGCGTTCATTTGAAGGTTCCTTATTGTAGAGAGAGATTTTAATTATAAACATGGAATTTAAAACAGGTGAAGATTTCATTGCCCTTATTCTACAGAGAAATGCACACAACCCTTAACCAGGAGCTACACCTCTGAACGAGCTGTTTTCATTAACCTTGTGATGTCACAATTATACAAGCACCGCCCTCAGCTATGCTCTCAGCTCCACCCACCTAGACCAACCAACCTTACAGGAGGCGTTAACCTGAAATATACTGCATTTTTTATTCATTCTCAACTAAGGATTGATTTGTGAGCCCTCTCCAACAATCTTTTAACATTTCTATAACCTTATTCTCTTCTTAAATGTATCTGCACTTTCAAGTTTTCAATACAACAATTTTCATACACAGTCATGTTGTTGTATGAGTTCCACTTGAACTTAAACACAGCTATTACTACGGCTGTGAGTGTGGACTTCAAACTTGTTCACTCGCAGTTAAGGGATAAAATCCACCGACTAGAGCTCTGCAGAAAGGATAAGCTGCTTGATGGATTTGTCTCCGTGGCTGCTGCCCAGGTGAAGGATGTTTCGTATATGTCTTCAACTTGTCCGATCACTCACCCCCCTTATGTCCAAAATAATCTCAGATTCTCCTGCCAGACATGCTCCCCTGGCTCCCCTCGACTCACACCGGCATTGAACCTGTCTGCTCGGAGGATCTAGTAGCCGAGGAGAGTGGCTGATGTTGCCAAATGATCCAGGCCCCAGGGTCTAGTGCTAAGCTCCACATAAAGTCCAGCCTGAGATTTTAAGTCTAAATTTGACCATTTAAGCACAAACTGACCTTTAACATTTGTATTTACAGCTTCTTCCAAGCTATAACAACAGGCTGCAACTAATTACCTGTGGTTCACCTGAAGATATACTCAGACTTGTGGTTGACAGAAAACATCCTGTTCTGTCATGTTCTCCAGAGTGAAACATGCAATAGCAGATGTGAAACAACAGTTTTGTTACTAAAACTATATCTTCTTATAGTCAAAAGTAAATAAAAGTGCAGAAATATGAGATCTTTAAAGGACTCAACCCTTTCAATGGACTGCAGACTGTAAGTTGCACTGCATGTGCCTTCTAGCTCTTCTTGTGGTGCACCCCCCCACCCCCATCCAGTTGTAATTTGGTTGAGCAACAAAAATCTAAACACAGTGAATTCCCAAAGGAGAAGAATGTGTGTGCTGATACAGTTCTCCCTTCACCAAAACCCTGTTGTGGGCTTATTTCAAATAGAGCCGAGGTAAGCACAAAAAAAGAACTCTCCACAGACAAACCATCAAACCTCTTCCAATATTGAGCATAAACACAGACAGTGGAGAAAAGGTAATTCTGGCAAGTGCTGATGCTTCTGTTCAGTGGAGACAACAAATATGGGTTTTTATTGAGAACCTCTGTAATAGAAAACCCATGAATGAGGGATTATACTCAAGGTGGGCCAGAGTTTCTCTCTTATTGTATTTTATTATCATTTAAAATATAAAACTCTACATTTTAGTCAATACTGATGAATCTAACTAACAACAATGTTAATAGCCAACCAATTGTTTTTTGTCATTTACAAACCTAACGTGCCTGTAAAGTGAGGGATTGGCTGGTTCTTATTAAATGACACAAGCAATTTGAAAATGTTTCCTCAGACTTAAGAAGATTTCAAGGGTGATTTTTCAATATTTCCCTTAAAAACAATTCCTACCCCTTCTTCTTCCAACAACACTTGCTGGCTATCATCAAAAAAAATGGTCTGAATTTAATGCCACTTTTACCACAGTGGCCAGAAGCCATCAGTAATTATTTGACACATTTTTTGTAGCTTGCTTGGATAAGTTGATGTTCCCAAAATACACACCGTCTCTCTCAGACAACATAATCAGAAAACATTCAGTCCTGGAGACGTGGCATCTGTGGCAAAAACTGAAAATATTTCATCTAACACCGCCTCCACTTTCTATTTCTGTGTCCTCCTCTGTCCTCTCTCTGCAGGTGCTTACCCTCGTCTGTCCCTGAGTTTCAAGCTGAAGAGAAACATTGGCTACTTCATCCTGCAGACATACATGCCCTCTATCCTTATCACCATCCTCTCCTGGGTCTCCTTCTGGATCAACTATGATGCCTCTGCTGCCAGAGTGGCTCTAGGTGAGGCCTGCTCACTGAAATACACCAGGGAAATCTATTGGATATATAGATTCTTCTTACACCAATTTTTTTCCTTTTAATATTTATTTGGGAGGTAAGACGTGTGTTGAAGAAACATTGGATGAAAATATGCAACACAAAGAAGGAATTTCTGGAAAACAGCTTTTTAGCTTTTGTTTCACCACAGATTCATCCTTCAGGTCTCTGAAGGCCATGACTAAACTTTTTCTTATTCTAGACATGACCCTTATTCAGTCCCTGAAAAAAGAACTGCACCAATTCACAACTATTTAACTTCTAAACTATCACATTGGGTGTTAACACATTCAAATATCCATCCCAATACAAGAACAGTTTCTTCTTGGACTAATATATTTCCCGCTGACATATTATGATGGATGACCAACCTCATTTGTTTCCACTCTGAGTTGATAGCCTCTGTGCTTTTCTGAAAGTCACAATTCTCCCCCCGTCATCCTCAATTATGTAAACCCTCTCTATGCTTGGAGGTTTGTATCCTAACTTACTCCATGTTTATCTGAAGCTCCCTGTCTTCTCTTCACCAAATTCCATCCAACCAGCTCCGTCCATCCTTCTACCCATCCCTTGCTTTTGTCGACAAGGCAATTTCACTGATTGACGACTGAGCTGCATTTAGTGATCCAGGGGGAAGGCGTGCATGGGATTTAATGAAAAAAAAAAGGTAATGCTCCATAATGGAGGCCGGGCAGCCGTGTTGGCAAATATGCGGTCACCCCCCAATCTTCGCCAGATTCAGAAACCACTTTCCTCTGACCTGGTTTCAGGCATTAAAGTGGACCTGTAATAGCTGAATCACATGGACACGGTGCTGCAGAAATCCTTTGTTGTTATTGCTAAGCTCTTGCAGCAACAGCTTGGGAGAATTGCCTGAATCCTATTTTGAGCGGTGGTCACCTGACAGCTTTGAGACAGCTGTATAATAATTTAGTAATTGTTTACTTAGACTCTCAGTTGAAATTGCCTTAAATAATTGTGCCGTGTGTGCATGTGGGGATTCAGGAGCACTATAAGAGCGGAAAAAATAACCCTATTATTTAATCATGTACAGAAAATCACATTTATGTATTAAAATCTGCCTTCTAATGCGATTTATAATTCAGACGTATAGATTGTACAATAGAAACACACACTATTGTAAACACACTTCATCAACGAGCCAGGGCTTTGCTTAACACAGCAAAAATACGAATTTAAATCGATATTAGTTAGAGTTAGGGTGTCACTCTTAATAAGCACAATCTCAACACATTGATATGCCAAGTCAGTCTGACAGTAACTAACCCCACAGCTTGCCTGGTGAGGCTTTTGAAATTTCTCTACAACTTTTCTTTCTTGGAGTTCTCCACTAATGAACAAGAGCAAGGTTGACATTTGAATTTCAAATTGCTTCACCGTTTTAGGTGCACCTCTTTTAGCTTTTCTACCACTGCACGGTCTGAAGCCATGGGGGTTAGACCCTCTGTTTGATTGGTCCTGACAGGTTTAATCAGGCACAGAGTCAAGCCGATCTCAAAGATATGTTGCAGGATCAAAACTGTCACAAAATCAGTCAGAAGAGTCCAGTACGGGTTTCGTATGATTAATGCTATAGATTTACTGTGATACAAATTTGTGAGTAATGTAATGACTATGGTCTTTCACTCTCAGGTATTACAACTGTACTCACCATGACTACCATTAACACCCATCTGAGAGAGACCCTGCCCAAAATCCCCTACGTCAAGGCCATAGACATGTACCTCATGGGCTGCTTCGTCTTTGTGTTCCTGGCTCTGCTGGAGTATGCGCTGGTAAACTACATCTTCTTTGGACGGGGGCCTCAGCGTCAGAAAAGGGCAGCTGAGAAGTTGACCACAGCCAACAATGAAAAGATGAGAATGGATCCAAACAGGGTAACAGAATTTTACCATGTCTCTGTAGTTTGTAGACCTGCATTTTGTTTTCATTTTGAAAAAAAGAACCGATGAAGAGTCAAAGACATGCGCTGGATGAGATCCAGTATTGTCAAATCTTCTGTTAATTTCTAGATTCGCAGTGTCACATGCTTTTATAGTTAGCAGGACAATTTAATTTAATTATTAACGAAGCCATGCAAGGAGCTCAGAATAGTTTTTAGCAAAGAAAAGAAATGTCACCAAATCCAAATGGAGGGTTGACCTAATGTTTCCTGCCCTCGGTGCCAAGTAAAGCCAGGCTAATAAGCTTTCCATTTTGTACTCCCAGCTGGAAAGAACTGATTGCTTCTTAGAAGAGATGCAAAATGCCCATCATAACATGAGTGCATATGGACATGCTGATATCACTTGAATACAAAACACTGACTAAACTGGGAAAAAACAAGTGGTTGCATTAATAGCCTGTGACATCAAGTGAAGCACAGACATTCCAATACATTGATAGAGGATGTATTATTCAGGTGCAGTTGCAAAAATGGCGTAGTTCATTGAAAGTCTGCTTGCTTGCAGTGGCTGGTGGGGAATGTGGTTGGCAGAGACGATACCCTGTACGCAAGAATGAAACAAAGGGAACTTGATGGTCATGACTCAATGTGGGAACCAATCTTTGTGGATGACGCAGCAATTGGACTGGGGGATCAGAAGAATAAGGTATTGTAGAAACCTAATTATTAGATATTTCATATTTCTGTTTTGAACACTTCCCTCATCTGAATTCTACCAGACACAAAAGCAATTGCATTTCTTAGTGAAGGAGTTCTGTTTTTTTTTCTTATACAACTCCCAACGAAAGTTTTCTACTTCATCTGATATTGCTCGGCAGGTGAAACTAAAACAATACACTGAAAGACATAAAAACACTAGATGCTAAACCTCCTCACAGATAATGATTCTCCATGTGGTTTATATAATTGTGTACGTTTTTTAAATATTTATATAGAAGACAAACTTTTTTTATTTCTTGAACAGATGGACCCACATGAAAACATCCTTTTGGGCACCTTGGACATCAAGAACGACATGGGCGTTTCTGAGCTGGCTCTAGGTCTCAATGATCCACGGAATACTATGCTGACGTACGACAGCTCAACTTTACAGTACCGCAAAGCAGGGCTGGCCAGGCACAACTTTGGCCGCAATGCACTGGAGCGCCACATGACTCAAAAGAAGAGCCGACTACGGAGGCGCGCTTCGCAGCTAAAGATTAACATTCCAGACTTGACTGACGTAAACTCTATCGACAAATGGTCGAGGATGATCTTTCCAACTGTCTTTTCCTTCTTCAACATTGTCTATTGGCTTTACTATGTCAATTAAAAAGAGGAGAGATCATCGGTGAGGGCAAGAACAAACAGCAAAATATGTTGCTCATTTCTTGTTTGTATCTGGTTTGTTTGATTTTTATGTGTAACACTGAACTGAATTACTACTGTATATTCAGGACTGGATCCATCATATCTCGGAGTTCCGTATTTGCTGACTAACACGTGAAAACCTTGTAGAAGAGAGATTACAAACTTATAAGGTGCCTGCTCCTGACTAATTGTTTTGAAATTTTACATATTTTGTGTATCCTGGCATTTTTTTTTATGTTCGTTTGCATATTTTTATGTTTTTATTACTCAGATTTTCAATATACCAATTCTTTGCCAAAATACTGTAGTTAGATGAACAACCAACAAGTTGATGTGTAACTTTTAAATCACTGTTTCATTTGGAACTACTTAAAAGTGCTGATGTAAGTTTCGAGTCAACATGGTTTTCTAAGATTACTTATGTCAATAAAATAAAATGTAGTTAATAGAATTCAAACCAGTATTACAAGGACCTCAAGTTCACAATTTACAAAATCAACCTTTTTTGTTCTTTAACATTTTAGAAGTAAGATAAAAAATACATTTCAGT